AACTTACAGTATATATTTGCTCATTACCTTTCGCCAAGAAGGTTATGTTTTCAGTAGCGTTTGTCTGTGGGTGTGTTTGTGTGTGTGTGTGTGTGGTTTAGCAAGATAACTCGAGAAGCAGTGGATGGATTGGAATGAAACTTGGTAGGTGGGTAGGTCTTCATGAGACCTAGAAATGATTAGATTTTGGGCCCTCTGGCGGCTTTCCTAGGTACTGCAGCAGAACTTCCGGTTTTGATATCTCGTGATCTGGACATGCTAGGGTCACGAATTTTGGATGGCAGATAGCTCTTGGAATAGGGAAGAAGTGACATGAGTTTGGGTCCCCTAGCGGCTTGTTCTGGAACTGCAGGTAGCTATTTTGTTGAAAAAATTTTCGAAGGAGGATAACTCAAGAACCGGTTGACGGATTGTCGTGATTTTTGGTATGTAGGTAGTTGAAGTGATGCTTGACATGATCAGATGACAATTATGCAAATCAGGAGCTAATTTGCATAATTAATGAGGAAATTCCAGAAATCTGCTTTGTTCATAATAGAACTATGAAACACTTGTGACATCACTTGTGAGAACGAGAAAAAACATCTGAGGATATAGATTATGTAAATGAGGACCTAATTTGCATAATAAATGGCAAATTTTTATAATTTCATAGTTGTAACTGCTAGGAATTTCATACTTGCCACATTTGGAAGTTGAGTGAAGATGAACATCAACAAACATAATTTATTCAAATCATTTGCATAATTTATGAGGAAGTGCTATAATAGCATTTTTGTTAAGATAAGGCTGTCATTGGATGGAGAATATGATCAACTGATATAATCCATGCAAATGGGGCTCTTACTTACAAAATCAATGATTAAAATTGTATCATTTGTCAACCACAAGGGTTAACATCATTTGGCGAAGGTATGAGATCATGGAACTCTTGTTTAAAATGTTTTTATCTTGTTTTAGGTCTACCACTGAAATAATCATTCATACCTTTTTTGAAGAATGAATTAATTAACCAACCTACCATTTAAAAAAAAAAAGAGAAAATTGATGCTGGTAAGTGCATGGTAACCCAAAGGCACCAGTAGCATCATTTTCCTACCAGTTCACATTTGATACCTGCTCCAATATGGTAATGATCATGATCATTTGTTGGTGCCAATAGTGCCACAGCATGCTAGACCACCGAGGTTAGCATTTTACATATAAGCACTCACCAAAGGGCGAAAGTTACAGCAGTTATTGGTATTAGACGCAGTCAACTGTAACAGTTTGCGTGAGGGAGTCATGTGTCTTAACACGAGACACTGCAGCCCATCATCCATCTCTCCCTGACCCGTGTGGAGCGATTGAAATCGAGGTTGCACGTGGCAGACAGTGTGTTTCTGACAGGCTCTGAAGATAAGGCTCTTTTTGTCTGCCTAACCCATAAGTCACCATGTTGGATAATTCCAGTCCACTATTACCTTCAGGAGGTTATGGTTTTAGAGGCCCTCTTTTTGGAGGAGAATTGAACATCTCCCATGTACATGTACCATAATATTACAGAAATTCTTGAGTTTGTCAATTACTTTCTCAAGAACTCCCAAGAACTCGACAGAAAAATTGAAATCGACTGATACACATAACACTGTCCTGCATATCCACAGAACTGGCAAACTCAAGTGTTCAGTGAGGAAAAGTTTATAGCCTTATTTGAATCCAGTTTGTAATACCCAACCTCTTTCATACGTTTTGAGAATATGGCCAAGTTGGATTGATGTTGCATATTAATTAATTAATTAATTAATTAATTAATTAATTCATTCATTCATTCATTCATTCATTCATTCATTCATTCATTCATTCATTCATTCATTCATTCATTCATTCATTCATTCATTCATTCATTCATTCATTCATTTCTTTGACTTGAAAGACTTTACATTATTGTATACACATGTTGTAACCTTCCAATGTGCTGAGCACTGTAAACGTGAGGGTAAACTGCCAGGTTACTTGTTTTTGATTAATTGAAGCCAACCACTGGTGTGAAATTGTGATACCAATGCACCACTGCACATATACATGTATAGGTAACCTAGTTACACCATTGTATGCAGCACCAAAGAATGTGGTAAATTAAAGGGAAGTCCACAAGTTTGTCCTTCACATTGTACCCTTTAATTTAGTATCATTGTAACATAACAGTATCCACCTATCTGTCATTCTGTCATTCTAAGCCAAACACTGGTATAAAATTCTAGCTCAGAAGAAATCATTGATTCATAAAAATAACATGAATCTTCATTGTGCTACAAATCCTAGTAGACTTGAAAGGAGACCACAAGTTTGACCTTGACTTTGACGACTATGATATTATAGGTTGTAGGTTTTTGTCTGTCATGCTGAGAATGTTACAATTTTCCCATGTACATGTAATCCTGATCTTAGCACCCACACTTTACTTTCATGGCTAATTCCCTGAGGTGGAGTAACCGGAAGTACTTATTGATTTTTGGGACTTCCTGCCAGCGCTATTCCTTTTGCAAGTAGAAAGGGATTTTGGAAGGAATTCAAATTGTTCTTCAGGATGGAAGGATTTGATGGCATGAATCTGTCAGTCTATTTCCTGTCATTAAAAGGTTCTATTACAAAGTCAGCACCAAGACCAAGAAGACTGAATAATGGATGGGGTAGAAAGCCACTCTTCCCTCAGACCTGTGAAAAATCAGCAGCAGATATTCAGTATGAACATTTTAGCCAAGAGCAAGAACTACACCCCCAGAGAGTGCATTCACTTCAGCACGTGTGGCTGAATTGATAAGTTGTATAATGTCAAAGCTGGCTGAATGGAGTGAGACTTCAGAAAGACTCTCAGGAGCACTAAAGGGCATTCCCTTTAAATTAATTTAATGCCATCTACGTACAGTGAATGTACATTGTAGTTGCCAAAAAAATTGGAAGTTCTTGATAAGCAAATATAGCTTTTGCATATGTGAACATGGAAAATGTGTACAAAATGGAGTATAACAATAACAAAAACAGTGATATAGAGGAATAGGTGAACATGACTTGCTGAGTAACTTCTACTTTTTCTCAGAGTTTTCAATAATTGTTGCCCGGAGGTCCCTCAGCTTCTTGTTCATTCCAGTCAGTGGCTCATAAGGAACATCTCATTCAGCCACTATCTCTGGACACAGGCTCATCTACACAAGGCTGAGCTTGTTGTTCTGTGGCCCGTTGCTATCTGGACTGTCTGATCAATGGTGCACACACCACGAGTGGTATTGATCTAAAACTTTGTTTGGTCAACTTTATTGGATGAAGGATTAAGAGCAGTTGATCATTCAGACTCATAACTCTTGAGATCTATTGACCCTCAGCTTTTATGAGTGTACATGAAGAGAAGGAATTCGAAGTATGAAATGTAAATAGTAAAAAAAAAAAACATTTTTTGTTGTTGTTGCAGGTTTGAACCCATCACACTCTGACCCCAACGACCCAGCTGTTGGCAAGACGCCTGTAGAGAAGATGCAGAGTTTCCTCACCGGTGTGCATGACAACTGGTAGGTTTACAAAGTCTGATGGAGTGTATCATGATCTCGGATTATGATAAAATCAATTACATTAAGCTTTCTATGTCATATAGCATTTGCCCAGTGTATGTTTTCAAGAACCACAAGAGGAATAATTTTAATTTTGTGGATCAAAATACACTGCTTACAGAGCAGTCCTGACTTCTGAAGGTAGATGAAGCCCCCCCCCCCAATCAGTATCTTAGAATGGAGATAAACATCAGCTGTGCCTGATAACCGGGTCATCAGCAGGGCAGGAAGGACATCATCACTCCCACACTGCTGCGCATACATCTAATCATCCCTCTCTTCACTACTCATTTCCGGTCAGACCACCACCACACTATCAGGGGATCTTGGTTTCCGTTCAGGTCACTGACCTGGCATTTATGAATCAGTAAGAAAGTTTTCCAAATGAGCACATTTGTAACAGAAGACAGAAGCCATTTTCTCTGATTAAAACAGTGCTGACCTACATAGCATCTATGCAGAGGCTGCTCTGATGTTGGCTGGTCATTTGTCTGCCAAATGATGTCTTTGAATAAAGAAATTATAACATAGCTTGTTACAGAATTAGGTTAATGGTACATAAAGGTAGGCATCATTCTTATTCAACATTTACCAATTACATATACCAGTGGAATAGTTTTGTAGTAGGTACACCAGCTGAGCATTAAAGCTAACGATGTAGAAAATGTTGCTCTGTGGCATCAGAATTCGGTATAGAATTCATAGTTGTCTGATAAAAGAAAGTGTTTCACATTTAATTGCGCCAAACTCCTAATTTTTAAAGATCCAAGTCAGAAAATACTAAAGTAAATATGTGATAGTGTCCACATTTATACCTGCAAATCTTTCTACAACATTACAACTACCACCCAACATGTAGTTGTCAGTAGTTAAATGAGCCAGGCGTATTGATTCATTGAGATGCTGTGTTGCTGTCCTTGGTGCTGAACCTGTTATTATGGAAAACTATCTGGCCATTTGCTCCTCTTTGCTTTTGTGATCCTTGGTTGTGTTTTACATACTAAGCATTACATCAGTGGATACAGGGTCATAGAAAGTAGAAAAGATTGGCTTGTTTTACAGTTGTTAAGCTGTCAGAATTGATGATTATTGCGATAAGTTCCACCCTATAACTGGTTTTGTGCTTTTTCAACTACCACATGCTCATAGCTGTGTTTCAGCTTTCATTGCTTATATACAATGTTTGTGTTCAACAATCAGGTACAGTGTATGTATTTTGTGGCAGCAGTGAACACATGTTCCTGTGTTCCAGCTACCATGTCCTGGGCAACTGTGGAGCCAGCCTGGGCAGGGAGTTCTATGGCATCCCTCAGCTGGCTAACCTGTGCCTGGCCTCTGTCATGACCAGTCTAGACCACATCCCTGACTACAGACTCAGGCCCATCATCCGTATCCTTCTAGCTATCTTAGTCCTCATTGTCCATAGAGAATTATGCATAAAGTCTATAACTTGGTACATGCATGCTGATGTAAAGCTTTGCAGAGATTTTATGTTTCAGTACTGGAGTTTCCTATCAGACAAGGGTGGTAAAAATAAATTTTAGGTGATCTACACCAGAAAATTTGATTTTTACTTTATTTGTCATCAGTGTAATTTGATACATCATTAAGTACTAGTAATCTATTTTCAAAGTGAAGCCTATATTTCCTGAACTGAGTCCAGGTGTGTTTATGAAGCCGTTTGTACAGAACTGTCCCAGCGACTTCTACAGCAGTCTTCTTGTTCCCATGCTGTCAGCTCTTTCCCAGTACATGTTGCAGGTAAGAGCATATAACAAGAATCAAAGTTCTTTGCCTATGAACCACACGAGTTCTGAAATTAACTTCTGCCCTGGCCTATATTTTTGTCCCGTCCAGTAAAATTGACAGTGTACAAATGAGCCCTTCTTGGCAAAACATGGCTGCAAATAGTTATACAATACAGGGTGATTTTTTTCTTTTCAAAATGATGGATTTCAACCTCAGCAAAAGGAAAGGAAATAAATGGCTGTCTTCAAACAATAATATTGATCATTGATAATTACATTACATGTGATGAGAGCCATTTTAGCCAAGTTTACTCCTGACTTGGGCAGTTCTTGTCTGACAATGTTTATCACCAAATAGAATAAAGATGCATAAGTGTGGGAAGTATACTCTTTCAAATGACTTGTTAAACTTTAAGTGGCAAACATTGAAATGTATAACAGGGTTTCCACAAAACCAGTTTTATTGGTTATGTTGAATCTTCCAGAGGTTGAATACAAGATGGGAAGTCATCAGTAACAGACAAGCTGAGACAGAGTAAGTATTGTCTGTCTTCCTTCTTTTCTCACAGTTGTCTAATGGGTTTTCTTAATATGTGCCTCATATTGAGATCAAATACTCCACATTGTTTGACTGATCTGTATGTTCATCCTTGTTATTCTGTGCTGTTCCACAGTGGTGCTGGTGAGGAGGTGACTCAGGAGGTGGTGGACGACCAGCTCACCAGGCTTCTCACCAGGGAGTACATCGACCTGCTAGGTTAGGCCACACATACTGGAACCTGCCAAATGCCATACAATTCAACTACATAGATACATGCTAGGTTTTACATTTCTACCTGCTATCTGTGAAACAACCTAGCTATCATCAACTTAGCAGCAAGCTATCTGCCCATCTGCCAGACAACCTTCTTAGCTGTCAAGTATGCATTATGAAAAGTGATGGGTTTGTGAGGTTTGTTACAAGAAGTTTTATTAATGGACAATTTTAGATAATTGTGTTTCAGGGTATTTGTATTTCTAAAGTGTATCATTTGCAATATTGGTCTTCCTCGTATATTTATTGCTTTTTCTCACTTTTCACTTGTTTCTACGAGAAAATTTTAGATACAACAAAAGGAAATATCACAGCCCTAAATGTGCTGTTGCCATAGAGTACACAACATCTGGTATACCCTCCCACTCTCCTGAAAGCATTCCTGAAGTAATAATTCAAGAAGAGCCCCAGTGGAAATCTCCAGATAAACATCAAAGATGAAAAAATATCACCTGCTGCTATGTTATCAGAACTACTGGTTCCCACTGTGTTTTTGCCAGGGAAGGAAAGTTATTTTCATTCATATTTCATCTATCTCTAGCGGCGACTTTCACTACAAAACGGGCCCCCGACACAAGCAACTCCCAAGATGGCATGCAAGGTAATATCATTGTGCTGTTTAGCTAGATTTGGTTTGGGGCTGGATGATTCTTCTTAACTGTGTGTGTGTGTGTGTCTGCGTCTGTGTGTGTCTGTGTGTGTGTGTGTGTTTCCATTGATTCAATTTCTACAGTACCAGAATTGTACTTCTACATGTAACAGACGGAAACTGTCCATTGGACTGTCATTCCTCCTTGTAAACTACACAAATAACAATTAGACCATGTTGATTTGATTATCATGAAGGTTGAACAAATGACACAGAGTAAGCTATGGCGAATAATCTTCTCTTTAAATTCATTTCTTTACATTTTCGGCTTTTTCAGTTGATTTTGGCATTCTATGACGTATTGTTTGTCCTTTTTTTGCTTATTATGTTTACCGAAGGAAAACATATTGTTTTTACTCAGTTTCTTCCTCCTCTTCTGCTCCAAACACTAACCTCTGACCTGACCAATGACATGGTTTGTTGATGTCTGTCACCATGGTGACTGGTGTTGGGTTACATAATGTTGCAATTTCATGGTCTGCTCTGCTCCTGTCACCATATACTAGTAGTACATGTATATGAATGTGTTTGAGTAAGGATTAACAGAGCAGACCATGTCCGAAGGTAAACGTTATGCATTTGCTTTGCAAATGTTACTTCTCTAGTTTTGCAACTGTTTTGTATGATTCACAGTGTGGTTAAAAACTTTTTTTTAAACGGCCGAAAATTCATGTACCTGTGGATGTCATCCGTAGAATCAAATCAATATGGCCTTAAAGTAAGTAGATTGAAAAGGGATACTACCCTGGTAGTGTCAATGCTAAAAAACTTGTACATCATGTACATCACATTACCAGAATGGGAACATAGCAAGAAGTAGGATTTTCTTGTCATAATGTTATTTCATCCGAAATAAATATGTCACTGGTTGCCTTTGCACTCCTCTCTAGCTTAATTTGGTGTCAATGGACTGGGGATTTCATTTGTAGCAAGTTTCAAGTATCCAGATCAAGACTAAGTTGTAAAACTGCTCCCCCCCCAAAAAAAAATTACCGGCACTTCTATGACAACTGTACATGTACCTTAAGTAATGTATGCCTTGATTTCAGCCATAAAATCAATTACATGTATATTAACACAATTATGTTATTATGGGTAGCACATGTCTTATGGCTGCTCCTGAAATGTTTAGAGAAGCAACAGTGGAACATACATGAACAGGAGACAGCTTGTGATGGAATTCATGGTTAACCACGGACAGCAAAGACGTCAATCCACTGCTGCGATGAACCAGCTCCAATAAACACCCCTACTGTTGAAACATAAAATCTGCTACATGTCTGCCTATGTGGCGATAATTGATATACACTAGTACAAACATTGGTACGTAATACCTGATTGCCACATGGTGTAACCACTGGGGTATTGCAGTATTTCTGAATCAACTTCTCTCAAGCCTGGAGGAACTGACATTATATACCTAAGTACCTGTAGGTCACACATCATGCTGTAACATAGTATTGAGGAGCAGAGAAGACGACTTTGGACTATCAGTCTAAAATGCCATATACACACATGTATATATGCACCCTTTTACAATTTTCTTTTAGTTTGGGGCATTGTTTTCATTAGATATCAGAAAATATTCACTTATTATACTTGTCCCTTGCATGGGTGAAGGTCAGGCATTAAACCTCTGCACACTTATAAAGAAGAGTAGTGGTGACTCAGTGTGCTTGGCTAAACGTTGGAGCCATGGTTCAGCCTTAGTGCACTACAAGCCGTGGAAAGAGCATTATGCTTAATTTCAAATGTAATGCATCCTGGTGCCCAGGTACTGCAGAAAGAAAGAAACACCTTAGGCAGTGCCCCATTTCCATTTGCACACACCACAAGATGATAGATCTGTGCTATTGTAATCCATACTGTCCTCACCTGCGCAATATTTTATGTTGCCCTTCAGGGTTAAACCCTTCAGAGCAATCTAGAATTTATTGGACAGTACTTTTTGGTCTCAGAGTAGAATGCATTTTCCCATGTGTGTGATTTATTTATCAAAGCTTGTTTTATAGAGTTTTCAGCACATAAAAGTGAGATTCCCAGGGACAAATAGGCATCTGAAAAGTGCATGAGGGAAAACAAATGGACCCAGATCAAGTTAACATTAGCAAGTGCTATCTCTGTAGTCTCATAGGTCCACATCTGAACCTCAAAGTGTTGATAAGGAAGGAAAGAAAAGGAAGAAAGTTCAGAGTAAATATTATAGGTAGATTTTTAACAATAAAGCGTAATTAATAGTTTTACATAGTTTTACTTCGAAGTTGAATTTCATTTGTAAAATTCAAACTTTAGTACAATTAAAGTCTGTTTTAGCATACCTAGTTTTACAGTTTTGTACTGCACACCCACATGTGCTTTCCAGAATAGAGCACCAGCTTTTTATATTTGCAGTCATAAACAGCAGAAGGTGATCTTGGTTGCACCCCTGTGATGTCTAGCTGCAAATAGTATTAAAAACTGTGCTATGAAAAGCTCTAGCAGTTTTTTTTTAAATTTGTACCCAGTGAGTGACTTAAAATTACTCTACATGCATTAACTCCTTCTCCTACTCCCACCCTCTACAGAGCCCTCGGAAAATGCGCAGACCTTCCACCAACAAGAAATCAGTGCCCTGGGGAAATGCCTGTTACAGCATGAGGTAGGCATAAAGGGAAACAATTGTTTGGAAATAAATATCCTTCTGGTGGGAAGTCTTGCAGTTGATGCTCATTACCAAGGTTAGGTGCAGTAAACCTGTCCCTACTACGTATGTGCATAATGATGTACCAACTCTGCAAGTGTTACAGCATAAAATGGCAAGGAGAAGGTGAAGGACTTGTTAGACTTTCTTGGGAGTGATATAAGTGTGCACCAAGTCATTTTGACATAATGTTAGAAGTGAAGAGTACTAGAGGAAAAGTGTCCAGGCTATTTCCCACTACATTTTACGTTGCCTAACCCATTGTGATGTTACATTTTGTAGTCGGTGGCGACCGCTGTCCTGATCTGCCTGCACTCAGCATTGTGGTGGAACGACACGACTAGCTGTCACCGCGCCGGCAGCTTTGTATGGCTGATGCTCAAACAGGTGACTGACTGACTCATCTGGTTACTGTTTTGACATTGTTTGCTACACTGTAATAAAGAACAACAGTCGAGCAAAAGAGGAAAGTCCTGTGAGTAGGATTGGAAATCACTCATATTGGTGACAGTTACACTTACTTTATATATCTGCAAAATTTTGTTACAATGTGTCTGATTGGCCATTGCAGGTGCTGGAGAGGGGTGTGCAGCCTGAAGTGATCAATCACCTGTTTGTTTGCATCCTGCGTGGCCTGCACCAACACGGGCAACATGAGAGTTGTCAGGCTACTTTGGTGGGGCTGGGGTTTCAGGTATGTCATGGATACTGCCAGACTGCCTGTTAGTGCTTTGGGATATTTGACTTAACTTCAAAATTTAGCAGAGATTCAAAAGTTAGTGTCCTTCCTGATTTTTTTAACAATATTAAGAATCATTTCTCCTGTTTCTACAGTTCTATGAGACATTGAGACCCACCAACCCCCAGTTGTCTGCCGTGCTGGTACAAGTGCCCAACTGTACAGCCGCAGCAGTGGAGAACTTCGACAACAAAGTGGCCCTGAACCCTGCACCTGCCAAACCTGTGCCAGACAAGAGGAAAAAAGAAATGTTTAAAAAGCTGGTCTCGGGAGCAATTGGGGTAAGAGAACAATTTCTGTAAGGAGGTTACATTATATCTAGGAAAACCTGGACATTCGTTCCCTAACTCTGTAAAAGCCATCAGATGTTGGCAAGTATGGGAAATTTGTACCTAACTCTATTCTTCCAGCCATTGCAGCCTCTGCTTATGGGAAAGTTGATTTAGTTCAATTCATTACCATTTACAACAGGGTAATCAGACCAGTTGGCAAGGATAAATGAATTGGTGTTCTATTGGAGTTCTATGGTGGAATATACAAATGAGAAATAGCATAAGTTTATAAAATAGCTTAAGATGGATAGTATACGTGTAATGTTATGCATTATTTCTTCTTTCTCATGACTGCCTAATTTCAAGTCATAAGCCTGTGTTTATTGATTTCTCTCCTTCTGTTTTCTCCACTAGAAACATGTTGGGCAGCAATTCAAGAAAGATGTCAACATTCCCAACCTACCCCCCCTGTTCAAGCCCCCCAAGCCCAGCAAACCCTCCCTGGACCAGTCGGAAACCAAGGATCTGGGCCTCACTAGTCTTTTTGATCCAAATAAGGACAAAGTATGACAAGACATCTTCTGTTTATTTTGTAAATACTTGCAGCCTAAGAGACCATAAGAATGATTGTTGTAATAAAATGCTTCTCTGCCTCCTTTTTGGTTACCTAAGTGGAAACAATGTTATGTTTGAACTAATGAATTTATACTCGCAAATGATTGTATGCAAGAGCATGTGAGGATGAAATGTGTTTTGGCTCCAGCCTTTGTTGGCTGTTGCAATTGGTTAGAGGAGGCAGTTATGATGGCCATGTTAGTCTGTTGTCTGAGAATGAAGAAGAATGGACTGAAGATTCTGAAGCAATTACAATCCTCAAAGGCTACACATACTGAATATTAACTTGTGAACTGAATACAAGAGTGAAGACAACTCTTTTGCCATGAGTGCACATTTTTTTACAGTACAGGACTGATTTATTTTCTGATCTTTCAGAGTTAAACTTTGATGAGGCAAGTGCTTGATTTTTGGCATTTTTATTTCCAGCGTTTTTTTTTTACCAATCATCCTCTGTCCAGATTTTCTTTATCAATAAAACCAAGTTTGTGTAGCCTAAGTAGCTTTATAGGTGCAACTTTGCTTGTGTACATGTTTGTTTTGTGTCAGCCCAAATTTATAGAACATTCAGGTATAACCTGAATGTCTATGGTTTAAATATTTTTTTATGATGATATTGATATGCATGATTTATCCTGTGTTTTTCAACAACAGTTCTAAGGATTGAATGATAATTTGTCAGTATCATATTCCAGTGTGAAACAAGCCTGGTGTGTACAAATGTAGAATCCTTAAAACTATATGGTAGCAGATGCAGTCTTGTATATCTTGATTGCAAATCAATGCATTCCTTATGCAGGTATGCCTACCACATTTGTATCAAATGAGCACACCCTAAAACATCCACTTTGAAGCAAGCTTTTTTTCCATTTTTGCTTCGACTTTCCAGTGGATGTCAGTGCAATGGCAGTAATGTATGTGCGTACTAAAACTTCGGTTTGGTGCCATAACCAATAGAATGCATTGATGTGGCCTGAAATTAAGTTAGATTTATTTCTATAATAGTTACTGCTTTACTTATGGACTCCTGAACCTAAGAAAGCCGTTTTTGTCCTGTAAATGTCCACAGGCAAGATGCTAGTACATGTACTTAATACCTTATATCAGTAAGTAGGTATAGATAGGGAGTTATTGAGTTACTTCTCAGTGGAAGTGAAGTTCTGGATACTGATGTTGTCTTTGATAAGGCTACATCACACATTTCTCATGGATAGGCTAATGAACTTGCTGAATTGTTAATCCAACAAAAAAATACAAGAACTCATGACAAATATTATCAGTTATTTTGTGCAAATGCATTTACCTGTTCTCTAACTCTAGACTAAGATATGAAAATGTTACAATGGAGTTCCAGAGAAAAAGAACGCAATCCTTTTTTTTTATTATTTTCTGCCATTATTAATGTTTCTATTCTAAGACTTTAGTAAGAGTTATCAATTCTTAGCAACAGGCAGGTACATTTGGTGTTTTTGTACTACCGGTACATATGAAATTGGAAAACTTTAGCAAGTGTTCTGATACTTTTCTTCACAAGGATGGAGTCATGCAGCTTTGTGGTTCTCAAAGGAATTTGTGTAGGAGTTGACTTGACTGTTGTGACTTAGCTGTTGTGACAATTTATTGAAACAGATGCAGTTCCCTTCAATGTTGCAAGGGGGCTCTGTGCAATTCTGACACAAGGACTCAGAGAAATAAGCCAGCACTGGGAGCAAAATCTGGAGCAAGTTTTTGGTTAGTCTTGATCTAGAATTTGTAATTAAATGCAAGAATAAGAGGACACGTTTTTGCACTGGGCAGAACACATTTTCATGAACGAAATACCTAATTGGCATGTTAGAATTTCTCATATGCTAATGTAGCTTAAGAGTAGCTAGATGTGGATTATATAATAAGAGATATGTGAATAAAGACTACAACTTGCCAGAAAATAAACAAGTCAATGCACTTCTTTTACTGGTTATTACCTTCGCCAAGGTTTTCATGTGCTTGAGTGTACATGTGTGTGTGAACAGCATACTAGTACTAGAAGTGGTGGATGGATCGTTATCTTTATGAGAACTGGAAATGATTACTTGATTTTGTTCCGCTGCTAGATGTTTTCCTATACTGCAATTGGTAGATGCCACTCGGGGTTTTCCTGCAATTATGATTCGTAGCACTATTTTTGGAATGTGATATAGCTACATAGGATGAACTTGTTGGTCTAAGTAATCAGGGTTTGAAATATATTTCAGTCTAGTTCTCTTGTAATAGTGTGTGTCATGTATGCAGACAGTTCCATGATTACTTTTCAGAAACGTTGAGCATGGAAAACTGCAGCCAGGGATGACATCTTGAGCCACATAGGGATTAAATTGGTGTATTTTGAACGATAACATTCTGTACAAAGGTTACAATATTAACTTTGTTTATTTGGCTTGGAATAACTGCTAGAATTCGTCATCAGCAAAAAGACCACTTTCATGCACGATCATCAATGAAGCCAGCAAGCCTAACTACTCCTAAAGGGGCCTGCAGTTCAAGGAACAGCCAGCCACCCTGTGTGTCAGCTCCCCCTACATGCCTTTGCTTGTACTGCACCTTTGCTTGGGGAGACAACTCCTCACCTCTGTGCATGTAGACTCAAGTTCACACCAATAACAATACTGTCTGTGTTTCAAACATAAGAAAGAAGCTTCTCTTTTAAGGTCATTCAAGGACATTTACAGAATTCAGTGATTTTGGCACATCATGTTTAACCTGACCTTGGGTTCTAACTGTCTTCATGCAAGCTTCCTTGCATCTGGCTGCTGTTAACTGTAGCCAAATGCACCGTGTAGGGGGTTGACACACTATTTGGTAGTTTGCGTAGGACAGTTGCTAAAATACTCAACATCTTTATATTCCCTCACAAACTCTTTACCTTCCAAATGTACATCCAAACAATCTACTAGTGTCAGGAGCAAAAGAATGGATTATGCCAAGCAGTATAAATTAATTTTTTGGTTGAACGTGAATCTATGGATAACTACGTCACATATTGGAAGCAGAAAAAAATACTGATAACATAGCAAAAAAAGTCATATCAGAACAATCCTGTGGCAACATTACATACATGTAAGTAATGAGATGGAGATGTGTATAATACAAGGGAGGCAGGTTATACAGTTGCTAAACATGGGTTATAAACATTTCATATATATAAAATTTACTCTAAATTATTGCAAAAATAGCTATTATGTCCCTATCTGAAGGTTACTAAAATATTCCATCACGGATTTGGCCATACAAAAGGTGGGATGAGACAAGCCTATCATCGGCACGTTTTACAGTGTAGGTATCAAAAATAGTTTGTCCAGGGTAAATCACTACTGTGGCTGTGAGGTGAGTTATCTAACTGAAAAGCTGAATTATCTATGGATAGGTCAGTACAATATACAAGTCTGTGGTAAGTAGTACAACATCTCAGATATCACAACTTCTCACAGAAACGACAACCTGGCGTCCTGCCAAACTTCATCTGAATCCTCTCTGAGATCCTCTAGTACTTGATCACATTTAATGGCTATTGGTTTCCAATTACAAATAATAATATTAACTAGCCTGTGTACAGCATACAATGTATATTATGGATACAAGATCGAAATATTCATAAGGCATTTTTCTGGTGGGACCAGTCTCTGGCACTGTACATACAAAACGTTTTATCTCCACAATCACGTAACACTTTTTACTTCTTCCAAACATTCCTTCTTTCATTTCTGCTTCAGAAGGCTTTCTCAGATCGGCTGTACACCTCTCTGTCTCTACTCTTCCTCTCCTTCCATCTCAGACACAGCACATCTTCAGTCTCTCATCACTCGTCTTTCATTCCTACAGTAAAGATGAGGAACAGGAATCTTCATGAGAAACAGAAGGAGCTATTCTGTGCCTTGCAAACTCCAAATTGTAACTGTTACTGGATGAAAGTAGAATTATTCTACTAGGTATTCCAAAACTTTGGGCCACAAATCTTAATGGATAATCAAACAAAATCCTTTGGCAACTTTCACTCAAACAATAAAAGTAGGACAACCACAATTGAGCATTGTATATTTTCACTAATCCAGCTAAAAACCTATTTAATGTCAGCAATGTAACACGTCACAGGTAGTTCAGACTAGCACACCCCTCACCTTCAGGCCACCACAGTCTCACGTGCTGGAGGCAGAGCTGACCCAGGCCGCTGGGACCCACATCGCCTCCGTCTCCAGCCTGCCGATCTCACGCAGCAGCTCGTTGTACGCCCGGTCCAGGTCGCCGTTCACGATCACGTAGTCAAAGTAGTGCCCAAAGTTGAGTTCTATCTCCCTGGCCTTCTCTATAGTCTCTCTTAACTCTTCGTCCTGTAAGAAAAGGTTAGAAATCTCTTTAGCTGCTGGCAGAATACATATGTATACACTTTCATGTAGAAATAAATCTAATGGCAATATTCACAACAGTGTAAGTGATGTACCGGGAGTGCCTGATATTCATCTCCCAGGCCTTCTCTATTGTCTTTCTGTAATGAAAAGGGCAAACATTTTTAAGGCTTCCTCCACTGTCTCCATGAATCATTCTGCTAGAAAAGGTCAAGACTTTCATATGCCCTTTTCTATCTTAACTCAGCATCTTGTAAGGAAATGTCGAAAATCTCTCCAGGTCTTCTCATTTGTCTCTCTTATCCTGTAAGGAAAGGGCAAGAATCCCATCACCTATGGGCCTTTTACACACTTAAGGTTTGAAGAGAGTGTAAATCTGCTGGATCAGAGGATGAACTTGACATAAACACAATTCTGATCCCTTCCAGATGGCACCCCACTATCCTGGTGGGACAGTACAGCTGTCTATGTGGGAATTGTTCCAGAATTAGGCATGCTTTCCTGTTAACATGAACTGGGGTAGGGAGCACTCTGATTTGCAGTTAAAAAGGAAACTGATCTCTGATTGCAGACTTTATTTTTAGAATTCCATTATAACATATTGTTTCATTTTCCAGTAGTTTTACAAATTCTCTACAGAATTAAGTGAGTGAAGTGTATCTCTGAAAAGGAGAAAGATTTTTTCAAATCAAAGCACATGCAAATGTAATCAGTAACAGAAAATGACTTGTGTGGCCCTAGTTGGCAGAATTCTGGCAGCTTCAGGACAGAAGAAGCCATCTGGCTGCGTGTCCTGTTCCCACAGACAGGGTGAAGACATTATCAGACCAGACAGTTTCACCCACACACATCACACATTCCTCAATAGGAGGCTAAGGGGCAATGAACCTGGGAATACATGAGGAAGCCTGCATACACTACAATGTATCTTGCATCTTAAATGCCTTTTTGAAATGATCTGTGGATAAAATATCTGGGATGTAAAATTACAATTCCAGAATCAGAAAGAGCAAGAGGCCCTGCCTTTGGTACATCTCCATGTTCTTATGTAACAGTTTTTACTGTAGGATTTACATAGTGTGTAATATATACATGTAGTAAGCAGCCAGGGGGCTCACAATTCAATCCACTTTTTTGCAAGGCCAAAAATTCCTGGTAATTCACTCACAACCTTCATTCTAATCAATGCTGGTAAAACCATATCTCCACCTTTGGATGGTCCCCCATCTTGTTCCTGAGTTGTCGAAGCTTCTCCAGCCCTGGAGGCGCCACGAAAACGATGAAGGGCTTCAGGTCTGAACTCTTCAGGATCTTCAGCGCCTGTATTACAAGGGTTAGACACAACGGTTAGCAGAGTATCTTGGGGAAGTAAATGTTAAATTAGACACCTTACATCTTTCTCCAAAGTTAAGATTCCAAAATAGAATATAGCAAGCATGCATTGCATCTACACTGTCTTTGCAATGACACCTCAAGAAGTTATCAGCCGTTCTTGTAAAAACAATGCAGGAGGCAAGTCACAAAAAAAACACGGGAACTAGGGGATACGATTGAGGAAGACAGTACGGTCAGACTGCTGTCCTGCCTCCTACTTTGCTTTCCTTACAACAATCTTAAAACCTTGACCCACTACAAAACTGCTACATTTCTAATTCTGATATACCAAACTACCACAGAGGCAAATGCACTGATGAACGTTTCTATTTTATCACCTTACACCGGCCAAACACCTGGACTTTAAAAAGGAAGAGGCAACAAAATGCTATACTAATTATTTTCTATGCTTGTTTTAGAGCACTGTTGGTGTATATGATGACATGACAAACCCAGCAGATGGTTCGTCTGCCGCGGGGCCCAGCCAGCCCTTGAAGTGGTCTGTGAAGCTGATTTTCAGGGAAACATCATAAGGCAATTCACTTTTCTTTGTTTCGAATGGGTATTATTTCTGCAAACTATACAGTATTGCAATGTGACTCCAACATACATTTCTACATGTAGCTGATAAGACATGTCTGCAATCCTGATCGCTGTCACCCTGAGCGTTTCTGTAGCTATCAAAAATGTCTCTCGAGAGCTGCTGAATGCACATAGGATTTGCGTTGAAGGGCCCAAAAGTCGGATTTCACTGCCTCTCCCTTCTATTACTGCATGCAACAGACACTACATTTCTCTACAGCAGTGCTGACAAGATATGAGGGTGGTTCTACTGTGGTGAAGAAGCAGGTAAAGGTTAGGAAAGGGTTTGTCTGCTGATCCAACACAAAGGAAACCAAAAGGTAGGGCAAGTCCGATGCCCTTGTTGGATCCACAGTTAAACCTGTTTCATAGTGATTCTACCAACACAGATGAACTTTCATGCGAACAAGCGAAGGTTAGTGACGGTGATACAAACCCTGATTAGTGCTACCGCTGGCTGATCGTCCTGCACAAGCAAGCAGCAGGGAGAGAAGCAGAAGCTTGTGTTCAAGGTCATAGTATGCACAAGGTCAACAATGATCAGACTACTCACAGACCATGCTCTCGGGTCCTCTAAATTTGTTAACACAACAATTGTAGTGAAACTACAGATAGCAGTTACAAAAAGCAACAAATGATAACATAAAAACTGGATGAAGCTGTGCTTTAGTGCTGATGGTGATGACAAAACATGCTTGACATGTGATTTAGATACATGTATTACAATGTACTTGCAGTGAAACAACAATCACATGTCACTGTGACAACAAAACAACATCAGTATGGACTGTGAATAAACTGCAGTGTGCAAACACAACAAGGACAATCCTACAGTTCTAAGTGATAAGCATTTAAACAGTGAGGTACCTCAATAACTTTTGTTTCAATTTTGCTTAAGGTTTACAAGCTAGCAAGAAGTACATTCTATATTATTATACCACACAAACCTGATTTCATAGAAGATACCTGAGCAGATTTTCAAGATTCTCCACAAAAACAAGGCTCTTTGATTGATGATAACAATATATGCACCCTGGAACATCAAGTTGCCCCAAAAAGAAAGGGATGATTCTGGGAAAATGAGACACAAAACATACTGTTGGAAAGAGAGCTCAGATCTCCCATGAAATCCAGTTTGTGTATCCTGCTGAAGCCTGTACTCCAGCCCTGTGTGCGGCTCACCTGAGGATGGAGGTTAAGTACGCAGACTTTGTTGCTGTTGATGACCCTGCGGATGGCGTCCAGGCTGGTTCCGTAGATATTCTTCTCATACTCGCCGTGCTCCACAAACTTCCCTGCCAGGATGTCCTGCTCAAACTGGCCCCGCGGGATGAAGTGGTAATCCTTCCCATCAACCTCCTGGTCCTTGCGGCTCCGACTTGTGTCTGAGGTAAGGGCAACAATGTTACCATGACAACAGGTTACTAAACAACAGTGTACGAGAACTGTTTACCATGACTCATAGTCATAACCAGGGGAAGAGGTTACTGGAAAAACAGACTTTCAATACAGATTCATAGGAACTTAAGCTTTGCAATTTTTAGTCTTCTTACATTAGATATTCCAATTAATTGATCTCTATGACTAAGAATAATAAGGTTTCCTAAAATGTTTTGGCTCCTTCCACTGTTACAGGAAACAAGTCACTCACGTGGCACTGCTGCCGTGTACTTCTCAGGGTCGCTCTCCATGAGGCGCTGTCGGAGCTCGTGTCGCCCCACGTTAGGCGGACCTATCAGCACCACCGGTCTCCTGCTGTCCGCCGGCTGCCGGTACTGCACAACCTCCTCATACGTCAGGATCTCCTCAAGGTCATAGTCTGACAACAAACAAACAGGTAAATAAATAAACAGGAAAGGAGAGCTCAATGTCATGGCCAGACAACATACAATAATTATAACTATACTTATGCAATATTCCCTAAGTCTACCATCTCCATTTGAGCGGTAATGGTTATGTGTCTGTCTACTACCTTGTAAAAAATTGCAAACAGAGAATAAGTTTAAATTTTTAGTAGTGGACCAACCTTCATTCTGTGCAGCGTTGTACAGCACCTTCTTCTTTTTCTTCTTCTTGTTCTTCTTGGCACACAGTAGCTTGCCTGGGGGAGGAGAACCCACACCTACATTCAGCCCTCCTGAAGAAGAAACTCTGCATGGTATCTACGCCCGTTATGCCACACTGCAGAGGTTAGCTCAGGGGTGAGTCATAGTGCCCGTCAAGCAGTTACTCTGCCTCTTAAAAACTGTGTTTTGTGAATTACATACTTAGAAGCAGTGTGGCAGCCCCAAAAGAGTACAAGAGGACAGAGCCCGTAAACCATGTGTGTTAGTGTTTTAGTGTTTGCAAAGCTTGTCATTTTTGGCGCCAACTGTAAGTCCATGACACAGCAAGCTGAGCAACTCAATCTACCCCGAAAGTTGAAGATCTACAGAAGGAGTCTTACCTTTCTTCTTTGGTTCTTTGTCATCCTCTAATGTTTGCTTCATAGCTTCTCTCCTGTGAAGGGGAAACATTAAGAACTCCTGTTTATATTGAGAAAAATTGGTGCAAATAAGAAAGACAGAATCCAGAAAATAAGTTTTCAGTTTTCTGAAGATTCAGATGATATCAATTCATAAGAATGATATCAATTTGTGATAATATTTCTGTCTTTCTCATCAACACAAAACTATGTATACTTTGTACACTTTGTATAAGAACACCTAACCCGTGTTTCTGTCTTCTTAAGGTCTAAGGATTAAGATGAACTGCAATGGAAACATACTGTTGCTGGAAGCTCCTGCTGGGCACCAGCCCGGCCAGACTCTGGTCCTCCTCCCCCTCGCGGAAGGACTGCCACCAGTTGGGGTCGTCCTGGTTCACGATGTGCAGGATGTCGCCCTTCTGGAACGACAGGCCCAGCTCGCGGCACGGGATGTACATGTCGTCCAGAGGGTCGTAGTCAAAGTGTGCCCTTACATGCACCTGCCAGGGGAAATACTGCTGCTGAAAACCTCATCTAATGACTTTTGGGAGCATGTTGATGACATTTAATGGGAAAATAATTTACCCCAAAAAATTTTGACCTCTTGGTCAGCATCATTGGAAACCTTGTAATTGCTCTAGCAAAACGTAGCCCTTTAACATTTACCCTCTTCATCTTTCCTTTCATAATTAACAATTTATGAATCAGGCATTTAATTGCACACTTACCACTCCATCTAAACCTTTCTGTCTCCTGTCCTGACATGGGATGAGCAGGAACGTTATCGTCCCAACAGCTTCTGCCTGAAAAACAACATTCCACACAGTGTTACTTACATGTATGTCATAAGCCACTGTGTCTATGGTATACCTATAAATAGTAAAATATTCCAAAGTTGACCAACGTTGGGAGTGCTCTTTGTACAAACTTTCCTGATCTAGGGTGACCACTGACCAGTGTATTTACTGATTCAGAGTGACATAAACAGTTTCAGGTGGAGAAGCCAGGCCTCAACATCCTACACCTTTTGGGCACACTTCTAGGTTATTATGGCAGATCCACATCCATCTCTAATTACCTGAATATGGCAGTGCCATACTGATAACATCTGCATGGCCAACAAACATGCCTGGAATCAAAGGACACCTACATTCCAGTGTCAGGTTGGGCAGACTCTACTTACAGCTTCCTTTAGAAGATCATCCCATGTCATGACCTTCGTGGCATCCCAGTGTTGGGATGTGACAGTTGGGATGGATCACTGTCAACTTGTCCTTACAAAATAGGCCAGGTCAGCAAATATTTGAAACATCATTTTTGAAAATTTTAAGGTCACTATCATAACTCATCTTTACAAAACATATCAAATACAGATGAGGCGTAACACTGGTCACCAGAGGATACAGGGCTAACACAAACATGATTTTGGAAAAGACATTCTCTTCATATTTCAAGTGATGGTAAAATTAAGATATTGAGCATGTTGCGCATAACGTCCTTTTTTTTCCGACACCTTCATGACAATTCATTAATGATTATGGCATAATCTTCAATTTTCCAGTAGCTTTACATAAGCTCCAAACTTGTGGCAACTTTGACGGTGTTGTTGATTTACTGCCACACATTGTGCCATGTACGACTGTTGAGCAAGAAGTTTCACTCATATCATGATGCAGCAAACATTGCTGTAATCATTTCTATCCTCAGTCCACAGAATGGAGTTTCTTTTCTGAGGAATCATGCCAAAATCAATATACATGCACAGATGCCATCCATAACAGCATGTGTGTGTCTGAGAGGAGGTGGCACTCACCATCATGTCGCAGACCTCGTTGACAGACTTCCCCCGCACCTCCTTGCCATTAATCTCCAGAACCTCATCTCCTTCATGTAACAAACCTGCAATGAAAAAGACAGTGAAGTGTTGAGGATCAAATACCACAAGTTTACATTGTCCAAAGGTCAATATAACGGTAACACCAAATATTTGACAGAAGTCACACCAATGCTGATATAGACTGTACCATTTTGGTCCAATCTGGATTCATTGGTTAGATACATACTTTTCAAGTAAGGTCATTGGTTACACAATAAGTGAAGAAACACTATTTCACTAGCTTCTCATGATCAGGATTATCATAGATGCAACTTAGGTAAGGATGGACATCATAATGTTAAAATTATTCAAATATAATGTCATTTACAATAATTGCTTAGAAATGCAATGTGGACGGATCAGGCCTTCATAATTATTCATTTCTGGGGGACAAAACAATCCAACATATTTTGAGTTTTGTGAACAGTGACCATATAGATCACTTTCATTTCAAAACTCTAGGGAACTTAGAATATTTGGGCTCATTAATCATAAGTTGAGGTAGAGATTTCTTATCTTTATATTAAAGCTTCATAGACTAAACATTTCAAGAATGCGACAGCAGGGAATTGGCATTTTTTTCTGTTCTGCCCAGCCAGCCTGGGGTGTGGTGTCACATGTTTGGCAGACATGATCTAACTTCCAACTATCTCATCTTTACCACATGCCCTACGTGATGTTTATGATTTTGCCACTCACCCCAGTACGGGACCTTTGATACAAATATAGCTGACTAAATCTTGGGAATGCAGTCAAAGATTACTGAATGCGACCAAGGGAGACCTGGGCATCCCAGCTGAACCCCTTCAAAATTGTGAAGTATGACACAGCTTCTGGTATAAGCTTATGGTGCTGATTTAACAGGCTGTTCTGCATTAAAGCCTGGTTAGCTAAACACTCTCAGTTTACTGCCTGTAGCAACAATGACCTTGGTTATCCTAGTCTTAATGAGGTGTTTTGAAAGCCGCTAAAAGTTTAATGGGAGTATCATCATTACAAGACAAAACTTACCAAAGTCTTGGTCATAACATGTGGAATTTTTGTGGCCTCCCTACAAACAGTGTATGAAATATGATAGAAAGCAAAATATCATGCCTAATACCTTACAAATCCCTCTAGGATCTGTTAGGTTACCAGTTTATCTCAGCTATTTTCAGGGAAGTGTCACAGTCATGGTCACAGTCACAAAGATATGAAACAGAGATGATGCAAGACTGAGGAATATTTAAGGAATTCTACTGAGGAATTTGTTGATTTGTTGGCAAAAAAAGTTCTTGTTGTTGGTTTTCCTCCAGAAACTGGCCACATGGCCCACATCATCATGACAACAGTTAAAAAATGCCAGTCTACAAATCCTCTAAAGAATTCCCATCCACCTCTTGAACCTGACCACATCCACAATTTACAACAGGAAGGTTATCTGTGTTTGTGCCTTTTCTGTGTCAAACCCCAGTAAATTTTCTCGCTTTAGTAAAACCCAGGACAGTGAAGAATGCAATATATAATCTGAATCATTTGATTGGGCTTCATTTGTAATCTTTCCAATTTAATAAGTTACTGCTCTGACTTTTTTCCAGAAAAATGTAAACAAAATAGGCTTTGATGTAACAGGCTTGAGGTACAGATAAGCCAAGGGGCTTAAGATAGCTGAAAATGGCAGGATTATTTTGGATGACTGATTTGTGTGGCTGGAGATTTAGAATAACATCTTCTAGAGCCAAACAAGTGTACAAAACAGAGTTCATGAGGATGCAGTAAAATTTTCCCCTAAAATTTCAAGTGTACAGTTCTAAGAAAGAAGTGTTCAACTGATGTGGCTTAATAATGCATATACTGAATCAGATATAGGATACCAAGTAGAGAAGTTAAGACAACTATATGTAAAAGGAAACCAAAGAGGTGAGACTGCTGAACTAAGAAGTTCATTAAAAAACACCTTACCACTTTTCTCTGCTGCACCCCCTTTGACTATTCTGGCGATAAGAACTGCGTCTCCTTCATTTCTCACTGTTGCACCCTGGAGGGAAACAGATTAAAATTCCTGTAAATACAGACACACAAGACACAACAGTCTCAACTCCCTCCCCTCTCCCAGGTCCTGCACATCTGGGAATGTGGCCTTCCTTTGCAAACACTGTAAATTAAGATTAAAGACACTAGACGTTTGGAATTTTTTTCTTGTCATAATTTAAAGCCAAATACATCCAACACACTATAATGCATAATGCTGAGTGAAAGTGAACCAGTATCAAGCAGGAGGCATTGTGCTTCAAACTACCGGTATGAACTATTTTTCAAATAATATATTTGAATTTTGGAAAACAAGCTTTGAACATTCAAAGTGACAACTGATCCTTTTTAACTCCCACATTTGCCTCAATAATGGGCACAAACTCAGACCCTCTCCTGGATGACAGATACAGATGCACAGATGAGCCACAAAAGTTAAACAAATTTGATTTTCAACATGGCAGCCATCACACAGGGATTACAAGTTGACCTTTAGAGTGACCTTGAAATTCCATCATCTTCTTACCAAGCTGCAAAGTCGCCTCTCAGTGGACTGAGGTGCTATTTTTTGTGCAAAAAGAGCAATTAGGTTTGTGGTAAACATTGGGAAACATGTCTTGCGCTTATTTAGGTCTTTCAAATAGATTCATCAATAGCTTCTGTGGGTCATGTAAGATATAAAACCAGACTGAGATAGTTAGAATTTTTTTCCATTGTCTCTGTACTTTCACTCCTTGCACTCTTTATTCACAAAAGTCACGAGTAAGTCACATGACATAATCTATCTGAACAAATTTGTTCTGTGAAGTTCTCTCCTCACACAGTTTTGCTGTATCCTGGGGTGTATGTTTGGTCTAGGCATGCCATCTCACTCTTCACATTTCCAGACAACATGCCTTTCTTGTCTACAAATGGAGATAAAACCAACCAAACCTACCACATGCAGATGACTACACAGAATGCTGGTCACCATTTTGGATGCCCCACATTTACATTTATGGTTAAATGTGTAGCAACTAGTACGGTGTAAATACTAAGTTAACAGTAATTGGTTGTCTTAGCATCAGGTCTGTATTGTAGTTTTCTTTTTCCAACATGAAGGATAAACAGGAAGAAGGAGATACATGTTTACAAGAACACTCAGTTACAGAAACAGGGCCATACGATACTAATATTTACCATACCTACACCCACTACATGTAAGGGGAGAGTCCCAGACCTCAAAACTTGACAAAAGTAACTTTTCCCCCAAAGGCATTTTAACTGTCCCAAAGAAAGAATACACCGCCACATTGCAATGTGGCGAGGCAAGGTGATGGGAAATCTACTCAGATTAGCATTCACAGATGATTGAACAAAAGCATCACAGAAGTGGTTTGGAGAGATGGACTGCAATTAAAATTGTAGAAGTGGTAAACTGAAAATGTAGAAATTTTATTGTCATTTGGATAGGTGGCAATGTTAATTTCCAGTCTTGGGAAAGATGTGTATTAACCCTTGTCCTGCGGAGCCCAACAATTGTTGTTTTGCACATACAGTACCCTCTATATATCACTCTATATAGGTACGATTTGGGGGTATTTCTTGTGCAACGCATCACACTGCAGCGAAACGCAATGAATGCGTAAGTAACTATGCCACCGCAGGGCAAAAAAAAGTTGGGGGTCTATGACCTAATTAAGACATGAATTTATTGAAAAATATTGTGTAAAAAATGCCAGCAGGAGTTACATGTAGGAGATAGAAAGGAGAGTACCAGTGCTTCCTGTGACTTGTCGATGCGAACGATCTTGACGGTGTCTTCCGTGTACTGCGACGCTCGCTCAATGATTCCATCGTCCGGGTTGGGGGGCAGGACTTCTCTGGCGGCCACTCGGTCATGAGCCAGAAGTAGTCCCTAGAACACAATAATACAATCAATATAACACTGGTCACTCCAAATGTGGAAAAGGTAGAAAATCAAGAATATAACCAGAAGTCAAATATTGTTTGCCACCAGTCTACTGCAAAATGCATTAAAACAGAAATAACATATTATACTAAGTCCATCTGAGGCTCCAAAGTTTCCTTGTTAAACCACACTAGTATGATTATGGAGATACAAGGTCTCATCTGGAAGGGGTCTGAAAACAACAGCAACAGCTTACAGAGCACTGTTATGGAGAAAACGTCCTGTCTTAGCATATCTTTTTTCACTAAAAGGTTGTTATAACACTGGTCACTTTAAATTTGGAAAGATACATAAACTCTGTAAGCTCTAACAACATTTACCTTCACCAGATTCATTTGACAGTTGGAAAGAGATTTTCCAAATCTAGGGTGACCAGAGGTTTGAGATAGTAAGACTTAAAATATAAGTAAGAGTATAATTCACTCTGCAAGAGAAAGTCCTGTCTTCACTTATCTGTTTCCACTGAAAGGTTGCCATAGATCAGGACAAGGCTCATCACTAAGTAAGCTGTCTGCCCAGCTGGAATCTGTCCTAAAGACAAGACCTTCCCCTGCATGTCTGTGGCTGGCTACAGATTCCTCAGTCATACCTGAGGGACAAGCCTGGCTCAGATTTAAAATACTGCCAGCAACTTTTACCTCTGAACCTCCTCTCCCAACAGGAGAACCACTGTGATCACGTTTCCGTCCTTTCCTGGGTGCATCTTCAGAAGAAAACTGCTGGTGGGGTTCGTCTCCAATGCCTATACCAGAAATGTTCTCTAGTAAATGCTTTTCCTCCTCTGATAACTTAAACTTCTTCTTTGGGAGGTTCTTCTCTACATCAGGTCCTCGGAGGTTGTGTTCAGGTACAGGAAACTTTGTTCTACACCTGTTCTTGTTACCAGTTCGACTCCCTTGCTCCTTTGCCGGGAAAGACTTGGGGACCACTTTGCCAGGACCAGGCCCCACTACATACCAGCCTTCTTCTGTTATTTCATATCTTCCTTCTTTCTTCTCCTCAGATTCTTTCAGTGACTTCTGCGAGGTAGAATCTCTAGGTGGATCTCTTGAAGCTGCATGATGCGTGTTTTGATTAGGAACTTGAGAACCAGCCAGACAAAACCAGGATCCTCCCTTAGCAGGCTTCTCCTCTAGTCTAGACAGGTAAAACCACGTCCCCTCGTCCAGAACGGGTGAGACGTCCATGTACCAGGGGTGCCTCACTCCTCCTCCACCGTACCTCCTACCTCGATCCATGCTGACTTAACACCTGAGAACGCCCATCTAACCAGCTCGCAGTTGCAGACGCTACTAAATCCCACACTCCTGGCCTCTGACACGGACGGCAGGCAAACACATGAATACTATGGAAACCTTTGGCAGACGACCAGTGTGCTCGACCAGTGTGCTCATCTGTGCATATTCTAATATGTGGCAATCAGCTCCCAGGAGACATCAGTCCCTCCCAGCTCCTGGTATTGTCATTGCAGAAAGACTACCTTCTGAGAATGCTATGAACCCACCTACACTTGTAGTGAGATTCCCCTATGGCAAGCTGCCAGACGTCAATTTTTCCCCCAATGAAAAATGGCAGAGGTTGGTACAGAGTGGGCGATCTGAAAACTAGCTAGAAAGTCCATGATTGGCTCATTGTGACCATATGTTAGTATGACTTAAAAGCAAGAAGGCTTGGCAGGAAGCTTCAAAACAAATGGTGCTTCAGCCTAGTTTATCTGACCTGCTATTCTCTAAACAGACTGGTTAGGGAGACCAATGATAAGTACAGGTACTAGAGGAGTCAAAACAAATGAGATGGACAAGAGAGCAAAGCTATGTTCCTCCTGTAAGCTGATAGCCCAATGGGTTTTTAGTTGAGCATCAAAGTCAAGTACAAAATGAAGGAATGTTACATTTTGTGAGTAAACACACAAATCTGTTGATGTTATTTGTGATGTTTGCAAAAAAAATACCTGATGACATAGAAGATGAGCATGACACTGGACTTGATTGTGGCATGTAAAACGTCTGTTCACAATACTAAAATTGTCTACCAAGCACAATGTATTGTATGCACATAAAAAATAAAGCGCACAGTGAAGTATTACAGCGATGGCCAGATGGAAGTCGTCCAGTCCAACCTGCATCTCAAACTGCCAGCCCTGTTACTCCCCAACATAAACACTGGGAACACAACCACCCTAAACCAAGTAAACACAAGGCAATCACCTCTCTTGGAGTTGTTCGGCTGGCGGGATAGTTTCTCTCCATAGGCCCTGAGATAACAACACAAGGAGAGCCCTACAGTCTACGCACAACCTGGAGGGACTCCTTAAGAATGTCTCAGAAATGTTGGCCGAGGTCAAGAATGCACCCCATTGCTGGGGAATAGGCAAACAAGAAAAGCTGTACAAGATGTCTCAAAAGAGCTCCTCACAGATACATTCTTCCTGACAGTCGTTGTGTTGTGCATGTGTGGTGAGGATTTTGCCAGTAATTTCTATCATTTTAGATCAGTTCCAGAAATACCTCCTGACGTGAGACTGTAGTCTCCCGATGGACTTAACCTAAAAGCCATATGCTGTTAGCCTTGCCTTAATATAGATTCTCTCCCTGCTCAGGGACAAAGTGAAGTTTTCAAGTCCATACGTCATGACAAAAGCCATTAGATGATCAAGAAAATAAGGACCAAATGTTAGTAAAGATCACAGAAATCTTTGTACCTTCAATTCCTTAATTCAGAGAAGTGTGATGTTTGAGGAGGGTGGGAACTTGTGGAATTAATTTGACAAATTTATGAACTGAATATCTGAGTCGGCTGCTCCCCTTGCCGAGACATACTTGAAATGTACAAAATATTCTCAGAGGCTGACCTTCCGGCGTCGCATGAGAGGCCATATTGTAAAGTTGATAGCTACCAGCGGGTTATGGGTTATGGAAAAGGGTATGTTTCACCCATCATGTGTGGATTTCTCCTGCAGAGTCTTTGTGTTGGTGGGGTCAGAACGGTCTTGAGTTAATGCAAACAAAAATAGGGCCCGGCATTCACCGTGACCTTTGCTTAGCCAGAATTCTGAGAAATAGTTTCATATACAAATGGGCAGTTCATTGTTTTCATACTACAGACATTTGCTTTACTTCATCTAAAAATAGAAAAGGTACAGGTACATGTAGCTCTGCAGGGCATTTTACCACTATATTTCAAGTTGTATGTTGAAGTTGTAAGTACAACATTTTTACAAGGTACACACAAACTTGCTTCATTTTCAGTTTACCTTCCCTTCTGATGTGCAGGAATAAAACCTGACAGTCAAGATTTAATACCAGGGGACAACATCAACAAACTATCACTAAAGGTAAACACACCTGGTAAGAGGATATACTACACCTGAAGGTCTTACTTCCAACCTTGAACCAAAGAACTATTTACTTCTCTAAATAAGGACACTAACAGCAGTTTAAATAATTGCTCTCTTCCCTGATGGAAGTTCAAACAAGAACGGGTTCACAAGTTCAGCCCCTCCCACTGCAACAGACAAGTTTGGATACAGAGAAACAACATTCCTCAGGTCTGCCTGGGGCTTTTGCCAACTCCAAATCTTTCTGGCATCACAATTATCCTGTGACTTTGACATGATTTTAGTCTGAACTCACTCTGAAGTTTACTTTAAAAAGGAAGCAGCCTGGCCATGAAGACTTAGTATTGCCACAAAATTCAGTCACTCTTTCTGAAGGCAATGTCTACCTTCAAAAGAAACAACAAAACTTTCCTATCCTATTCATGAAACCTATCGAAGGCCTAACCACATGTACCTTCTCCTAAATCAGAGCAGGTAATGATACATAGTCTAC